GTACGGCCAGGGCCAGGAATTGAATCCCAGGTCGCATTAGAGAGACGCAACTGCTTGAAGCAAGAGCCCACTGTGCCACCTTGTTTTTGCCTCTATTTTTGCAAAGGAATTGTACCCAGTCAAGATTGGAAAAACAAGATTTGGAGGACACAACTTTCCAGGCAAACTTTTTGATTAATAAGATGCTTGACAAGGAAGTACAGGCAACAAGACTTTGTTCAGCTCTGCCTTTGAGCTCCCTTACCTCAGGGTTGAATTACGTTACAGTGCCATTTTTGTGCACTTTCCTCCAGCCATGTTAGTGGGTTAATTCGTCGGCATTTTTTTCTGCATTGTGCATTATGTGAAAGAAGGTTTGTTGTAATGTCTTATTTTCTGAGTTCGAATGTTTTGTTCCATTTTCCAGACCCACTCCGTTGAGATCCCCCATACTCATTGAGGCAAACATCGACAAAATTGAAGGCAGAAAGATTTTCATGAAATCATACATGAAAAGTCCAGATGGCGCGACAGTCTACTCGGATTGCACTGCTTTGTATGTTAACGTTGAAAGCAAACTGCGTGCTGCGGAAGAAAAAAACCAACTCAACACTGTGAAGAGTTAGTGCTTTTTATCTATGTGTGGTAGATGTGAACGGGTGCTGCGTGGAGGTTGCCCCTCTCATTGAATAACAGAAAGACTGGGCCGACTGCCTGGTTCCTGCCTCTCTAGTTATTTGGAATTCAAATAACTGACAGTGGGCACCATGGAAAAAGCCTGCCCACCTCTCCAGATTTATTCACAGGACCAGGGTTGTTGATCCAATTTACAAGTTCAGCGATAAGATTGGCTTTCCTGTTACTACTGTTGTCATTTAGAGAAATGAAATGATTTTATACAGCACTTACCTCAAATGGTACCTTTTTTTTGTAACTGTTCTGTCCTCAGCTCGAATTCTGTTTAATTAGTGAGGTCTCTTAGACGTTTGACATTTCTGTTTTAAAATGGCGAAAAATGCACCATTATTTAGTTCGGTTGCAAAGCAGGTAGACAACTTTGACAATCGATTTTTGTTTTTCATTTCAAATAGAAAAGCTGCTCTCTTCATAGTAAATAAACCAAGGTATTGCAGAGAAGGGAAATTTTGTATCTGAGTTATTTGTATTTAGAATGCATCTTGGCAAAAGCTGCAGTCTTGAAGTATACTGATTTCGTTTTGCCCTTTTCATTCCAGTTTATGTGTTCTGTTGTTAGAGCTTTAGTTGAGTTTCATTCTAAAACTTCTGTTACGCAGGCAGAATGAAGGACAACAATATCAGGGCATTGATGCTGTAAATTTTGATGATTAAGTTGAAAATGGGACATTGGGAGGATGGTTGAATAACGTTCAGGTAAAAACATCTGCAGTAGCATTTTATACACATGACTGCAAAAGAAGACTTGAAAAGTATATTCTGGAGAGAAATATGGAAACATATTTTCAGTTTACAAGAGAAAAAGTTTGTGTTTACCATAGCATACACCTGTTGTCATTGCACTTCATGTGCCTCGAGTACTATTTTAACTAAGTAGAATATCATTTCTGGGCCTCCGTAACTGTATTCTTGGTTTCAAGAAGTTAGTGCTAAAGGGTGCACCCTTGCAAAAAGACCCTAAATATGTCCGCCGAGCTCATTAATAAAAGTTATAGACTCAAAATATTCTATATTAGAGAGTCCTGAGAGCCATGAAATTGAGGAATGGGANATACGGCCAGGGCCAGGAATTGAATCCCAGGTCGCATTAGAGAGACGCAACTGCTTGAAGCAAGAGCCCACCGTGCCACCTTGTTTTTGCCTCTAGTTTTGCAAAGGAATTGTACCCAGTCAAGATTGGAAAAACAAGATTTGGAGGACACAGCTTTCCAGGCAAACTTTTTGATTAATAAGATGCTTGACAAGGAAGTACAGGCAACAAGACTTTGTTCAGCTCTGCCTTTAAGCTCCCTTACCTCAGGGTTGAATTACGTTACAGTGCCATTTTTGTGCACTTTCCTCCAGCCATGTTAGTGGGTTAAAAAGAAATCAGACTTTGATATTCGTCAGCATTTTTTTCTGTATTGTGCATTATGTGAAAGAAGGTTTATTGTAATGTCCTATTTTCTGAGTTCGAATGTTTTGTTCCATTTTCCAGACCCACTCCGTTGAGATCCCCCATACTCATTGAGGCAAACATCGACAAAATTGAAGGCAGAAAGATTTTCATGAAATCATACATGAAAAGTCCAGATGGCACGACAGTCTACTCGGATTGCACTGCTTTGTATGTTAACGTTGAAAGCAAACTGCGTGCTGCGGAAGAAAAAAACCAACTCAACATTGTGAAGAGTTAGTGCTTTTTATCTACGTGTGGTAGATGTGAATGGGTGCTGCATGGAGGTTGCCCCTCTCATTTGAATAACAGAAAGACTGGGCCGACTGCCAGGTTCCGCCTGTCTAGTTATTTGGAATTCAAATAACTGACAGTGGGCACCATGGAAACAGCCTACCCACCTCTCCAGATTTATTCACAGGACCAGGTTGTTGATCCAATTTACAAGTTTAGCGATAGGATTGGCTTTCCTGTGACTACTGTTGTCATTTAGATAAATGAAATAATTTTATACAGTTCTTACCTCAAATGTTACTGTTTTTTGTTACTGGTCTGTCCTCAGCTCAAATTCTGTTTAATTAGTAAGGTCTCTTAGACGTTTGAAATTTCTGTTTTAAAATGGCGAAAAATGCACCATTATTTAGTTTGGTGGCAAAGGAGGTAGACAACTTTGACAATCAGTTTTTGTTTTTCATTTCAAATGGAAAAGCTGCTCTGTTCATAGCAAATAAATCAAGGTATTGCAGAGAAGGGAAATTTTGTATCTGAGTTATTTGTATTTAGAATGCATCTTGGCAAAAGCTGCAGTCTTGAAGAATACTGATTTCGTTTTGCTCTTTTTATTCCAGTTTATGTGTTCTGTTGTTAGAGCTTTAGTTGAGTTTCATTCTAAAGCTTCTGTTACTCTGACAACAATATCAGGGCATTGATGCTGTAAATTTTGATGATTAAGTTGAAAATGGGACATTGGGAGGATGGTTGAACAACCTATCAGGTAAAAACATCTGCAGTAGCATTTTATACACATGACTGCAAAAGAAGACTTGAAAAGTATATTCTGGAGGGAAATATGGAAACATATTTTCAGTTTAAAAGAAAAAAGTTTGTGTTACCAAAGCATACTCATGTTGTCATTGCACTTCTTGTGCCTCGAGTGTTATTTTAACCAAGTAGAATATCATTTCTGGGCCTCCGTAACGGTATTCTTGGTTTCAAGACGATAGTGCTTAATAGCGGACATCGTGCATTTGCGCGCCTAAACGACTCATTATCAGTACAGAGAACGAGTAAAAACTAGTTGTGCGAGGGCGCTCTTCAACAGAAATAAAACATCTATCGATCACTGACGTCTTGGGCCGGCCAAGAGTGCCGTATAACGGATGAGCGAACTGCAGCCAGGTGTGCAACTTTGTGACCACCCACCGCGCTGCTTACGGGGGGGGGGACGCAACAAGTGGATGGCCGCGCACGTGCTTAAGATTATTTAGAGAAACTTTTGCCGGTCGCTTGCATGAAACACTTTGTACGAGAATTAATTTGGCGTGGGCAAGTACTTTGAAGTTGAGTGGATGGGAGATATCCATCCGAAACTGCTAGACCCGACACGAGACTTTGGGTTAAAAATTCCATGCACGGACGCTCAATTTTTTTCCTTACTGTGAGCCATCCGAAAGCCATAAAATGTCAAATTAAGCAGAGATAATAATTGAGGTTATAAAGAAAACAATTTTTTGCACACCAGCCTTTTAATAGGGTTTGTGCACAGGCTGTCACGCGACATCCAGTATGCTAACGCCACTTGACACCATGGAATTCTCCCCGAACTTTGACACTGTCATCTATTCTTGTACGGACGGTGCAGGTGATAAGCCAGCTTTGTGCACAACGATCTGCGTCTTTCGACCTGTTCGCAACCAACTTGGCCCTTGTGGAGTAAACTTTGCTTCTAAAACATGATGTGCAGATGGCGTCAGCACAGAACAACTGGCTACCTGAGACCGAGGAGTTGTACACCCGCCTGCGAGCCCTGGCAGAGAGAGGTGGCTGGGTGCAAATCTGGAACACCAAAATAAATCTAATGCCCCCTCAATATGCGTTTTCGAGCGTCATAACGGAGAACGGGCGTGTACTGCATCACGCCTTGTTCGTACAGGAGGAAGAGAAAAGCCTGATGGGTGTTTGCCAGTTTGGAGAGGAAGCCCAAGGACTCGTAGGGTGAGGGTTAAAGTTCCAGATGTAGGAACATTACTACTAATTTTCCCATCAGAAAGTGATAACATGTTCTAAATAGTCAAATTTAGCTGTGAAAATATCGAAACATTTACTTAAAACTGATTTTTTTTTCATACCCGTCTCATTGGGTTTGTGCACAGGGTGTCAATTAAGTGATGTCCAGACATGCAACTCTTTCCGGGGTGAGACTTTTGACCCCTCTAAAAATGATCCTGATCCCTCAGAAAATAATCCTGATAATCTCTTGGATGAAAAATTGGTTCTGATTTGACCAATGCACCTGGTATGGAGGACAACAGTGAAAACATGCAAAGTCACGGAAATATTAAAAGTGATGTGGTTTCTTGTCCCTGATTGGCAGATTTGAGTATTTAAAGTCAACAGAATATTGTGTGACGTGTGACACACACATACAGAGTTTCCCAACACCATCTTTAAATTTTACCCTCCAACTAACCGAGTAAAGTTCTGTAGATTTTGTTAATTTCAGATGTATAAGGACAAAACCTGCACAGTTAAAGAATTTGGCTTCGAGGGTTTATCCATGGTGTAAACATAAATCAAATTTGTCACCCCTAATACAAAGATTCTTGCTTAAAGTAGGGGCTACTATTGAATGAGTATTTGAAACAACATGACGTCACCTTGACAGCATAGTACACATGTGCAGAAGTTTTCTGTAATACAATTTCAACTTCAAGTACGTGTGTGTTTACAAGAGTGCTTAAATTTTTCTTTTTCAAACTTGGCATCACTTTCATGTAAATTTAGGTAAGTGTAATTTATGTAAAATTTCAGTTGTAAAATCTTGCAATAGTCTTTGCTTGCTCAGCATCTATAATTTGCTCCCCTGTTTGCATGCATTCTGTTTAAAAAGGGTAGCACATGGCGGTGCAACTGCTACGATGCATGATGGCACCACAGGGGTGTTGGCAGACAGAGTACTTGGAAAAGCCATTGTCACAGCTTCGCTGGCTGTAAACTTTAAGAGGTGAGTCAATGAGGCAGTTTTGTCACAGAGCTGTGGTCTAGAGCTCTATGGGGCCATCCATGGGAGCTATTTGACCTTATTGGTAGCTGTAAGGGTGAATTGCAGGAAACATCTATAATGTTGTCAAGCCCATGGTAGGTAAAGTTGGCCTATGTAGCCAGGATATAACCCATAATTATATGACTACTTGGCATGGCTTAGGATCAAAAGTGTTATCAAATCCAGGCCACAGTAGAGAGCAGCGAGGGCTTTATGTAATAGCAACCTGTGCAACCTTGTTTGGCTTAACGTAATGCATACATGAATTGTGCCTAGTCAAGATGGGCAAAACAAAAGATTCTTGAGACTTCTTTTCTAAATTAGGAAAGGGCAGACACTTCAGGGAAGGGCAGCCAATTTCACATACTTGTCCGGCAGTGGCCCTCCCTCCAAATGATTTTTCTTCAGTTTCTACAATAAGTATGCTCCGTTTTTGTTCACTTTTCTCCTGTCATGCTACGGAGACTCAAAAAGAACATCAGACCCGGATCATTTTTAGGCTGCTGTGCTTTTGTGATGGTATAGTTTGTGTTAACATGTAGTTGGAGACTTAAAGATGCTTCTTGGCTTCCACCTGACTGATCTACTGTTATTTGCCTCACACTTGAGCTGATATGGGTGTGCTTAAAATGATGAAAACAGTATTGCACCGATTGTCCGTGTATACTGCCACTAAGCAAACAAAGTCAGGGCTGAAGTGCCCCCCCCTCCATTTTACAACCAGTGGACACCTCCCTCCCTAACATTTTGCAGGTCCTAACATGGGGTGAGGCTTAACAGGTCTACCTATTAATGGCTGATGCCGGATGGCCTTACAAAGTGGCCTTCCTCTTTGAAAATTGTTCTGCAGTTCCCCTTTTCAATTTTTAACGTTTTTCATTTCACAGACCCACTCCGTTGAGATCCCCCATACTCATCGTGGCGCATGTCGACAAAATTGAAGGCAAAAAGGTTTTTCTGAAATCATACATGAAGAGTCCAGATGGCGCGACAGTCTACTCGGATTGTACCGTCTTGTATGTGAACATTGAAAGCAAACTAAAAAAAAAAGCCAACTCAAGACTGTGAATACAAGAATGCTGCTTTTTATCTACATAAATATGTAAATGATGCTGTCCACCTACCTCTCCAGCTTTATTTAAACGACCAGAATTGGCAATTTTTTTTCCATCCAAATGTAACTGTAATCATATTTAATTTTTTTTAATTGGAGACAAGGAAATTCGGCTGTTTGTGTATTGATATTTTAAATTAATTTTTGTTTCAAAATTATATAAATCAAGAGATTTTAATAAATTTTTAAATGAAAATATTTTGATTAAAATCATCCAATTATTGGCAATTAATAACACCTTTAATAATGTTTAAGCCCAGGTAAAAGAAAATGCAGAATGGAATGGAGTAGACAGTTCCTTCAAAATATGTGTAGGTGCCAGTCCGGACTTTTAAGTTTTGTCAAAACTAAAGTGTACCAGAAATTGCTATCATGCATTCAGACTTATGGATCAGTGTAAGAATAAAAGGCCATCAACCCCCCATGTACGTGTACATGCTACATATAGGTTGGCAAATTGCTGGTACATAACTTAATGTCTGCAAAGAGCAGTCTCAAGGGTTTCTTCTGAGCCTTTTGTTTCTTTGTTTAAAGAGCCCAATTAATTTATAAAACTACAATAACACTTAACTCAGATGTTACTCATAGACAGTAGCTACTGGTTGTCTCAAGCTTAAATTTGATCGCATTTGTCAGTAACATCTCTTAGACTTCCAAAATGCTGAAAGATCTTTCAGAATGTTGCCATTTCTAGTGGATGGTAGTGTTTTGTTAATTTGAGACAATGGTGGCAAATTTGGCAGTTAATTTTTCTTTTACATTTTTAATAGAAAAGCTGCACTTAGTATGAAATAAACCACTTAAATTTAATGTATTGAAGAAATAAAGATTTTTTAATAAGAGTTATCTACATTTAAATTTAGAAAAAGTTGTGATCTTGGAAATATATACAGAAATATGTTTAGTTTTGCTCTTTTTGTGGGGGGGTTGTCAGTTGGTCAGTTTGTTGTGCATTTTGTTGGTCAGCTTTAGTTGAGTGTCTTTCTGTTAGTTTGTCCTTGTCAGGGACACGAGTAGGTACACAAAAGCTCAGGATTCTGGCAAATTAACAAGTGTATTCTTAGATGAAATATGAAAACATCAGCTATCTGTTTGCTAAAAGTAGTCTGGTCTCAGAAAAATCACGCCGTTTGTCTTCGCAGTTTGTAATGAACCTTGAACACTACTTATCCGAACTATTTTTCGTTAAAACGCCTTTTGTGGGCCTCCGTAACTAGGTACCGTACTTCCGGCCATTATGTCAATTCTTGTGGAGCCGCACCGTACCAACGCCGCCGAGTCCAGGGTCTGGTTGGTTACGACCACAAATTGTTGTTGAAACTAAAGATATCTCATCTTAGCTGCTGGTTTTAGACGTTCGTACCCTCCTTCCTCCATGGTACAGTACAGCACGCGGCGCAGAAAAAGTTGCCGCCATGGTCCGGTCTTCATGATCTTGCTCGCTTGTTATGTGGCTAGCTGCAGTTGAGTGAGTGAATGGGATGATTTTAGCAATTGTAGGCCGGGGGGGGGGTATTCAGCAAAGAATCATTCTATGTGACACCAGTTGGCGGTACAGAACACTAAACTGCAAGTAGGCAAGTCCGTGAATAGCATCTGAACATGGATGAAACAAAGCAAGGAAAGAGTTCCATATACAGATGCGACATGGTCATGATAGACTGGAAGAATTCTAAGTATTTTCCCTCCTAAATTGAACTTTTCTGGACATGTTTTTGCTTAGGTCACTGAATAATTACTGATGTCCATATATGGAGCTCTTCTCGTTAGCAAAAATCTTTCAAGATGTACTTAACTTCGTATTAAGGAGATATTAATTTTAATCACGGGTTATGCCCTTACCTGACGTAGGCCTATGTACTCTCAGTCATGTCAGTGCTTGTCCGAGAGCTTGCAAAAGAATTCACAAGCTTACTTGGAAAGTTGGATGGAACTTGAACCTAGGACCTCCTGTTTACTAGTGCAGATGTCTTATCCACTTGACCACTGAGCTTACCAGGGTCAGCTGGCCAGTCTGAGTCAGACTCCGATGTAGCAGTGGGTACCGCAAATGTCAATGTAGTTTGCATTGGGGAGATGTTAATTTTGATCATGGATTTTGCCCCAACCCGAGGTACAGTGCATATGCATAAACACTGTATACTCAGTGCTTGTCTGAAATTGTTTGCGATACCTTGCGCTACATCTGTCTTGGACTGGCCAGTCAACCCCGGTGTAGCTAAGATGAGAGGCACAGGGGAACCAGCTTTCATCGGTGTAGTTTTTGGGATAAGCTTTTGTTAGCCTTGTTCAATATCCATTCATCCATTTACATGGTATCTCGCTTGTTTAGTGGGGGGGGGGCACCAGGAATTTGTGGGAAAATCACCTGCCGCCTCCAGGCCCTCCCGTGGCTACGCCCCTGTCATGCAAGCTTGGTGGTTGAGCTTGGTGGTCTGAAATTGTTTGCGATACCTGGTGCTACATCTGTCTTGGACTTGCCAATCAACCCCAGTGTAGCTAAGATTTTACAAGTGGGAGGCACATACAACCTGTAGAGGCATCAACTTTCATTGGTGTAGTCCCACCCAAGTAAGCTTTTGAATTTTCTTGCAAGCTCTCGGAAAAGCACTGACTACAGTGTTCATGAATGTACGTTGGGTAAGGGCAAAACCTGTGATTAGAGTAGAAATAACCAAAATTTCTAAGCACTGTCTAACATGTTGTCAATAGGGAAAGAATTAGTCTTCTTCTAAACTCTTTCTGCAGCGAGGCATGCACAGCTTCATTGACACCTAATTGGCATGTCTTTGGTTGCAAGAAACACTTTGAGAAAAATCACATGGGCAAGAAGTGTTGAGATTAAATACAAGAAAAGGGACACTGACTGAATCCAAGACAAAATGAGCAACCACGTACATGTATGTAGGAGTGGAGGAGAGAGATGTCCATCTGAAACTGATAGACACAAAAAGTTTAGGAAAGAATTCCATACATGGATGCCTCTACCCTGTGCACAAACCCCATGAGACTGGTCGGAAAAATTCAAAGTGTTTTCTAAGTGAGTATTTCAATGCTTTCACAGTTCAGTTTGACATTTTAGGTCATTTTATTGTTTTCAAATGGCTGAGAGATCACTTTAGGGAAAAAAAGGAGAGATGTCTGTTCACATACAACACTGGAATTCTTTCTGAATTTTGTAAGAGAATACATTGTGCCTACTTTGACACTTCATTTTCTCCACAGTCTCTAAGCTTTGTGCACAAAGACTGCATCTTTTCAAGATGTTTGCAAATGACTTGGCCTATGACAAAGCAGGCCTTCCTGTCAATTGCTCCTTAAATGTGCAGATGGCGATGGATATCACCAGCTCGGCACAGAACACCTGGCTCCCCGAGACCGAAGAGGTGTACACCCGGCTGCTAGCCCGGGCAGAGAGAGATGGCTGGGTGCCAATCTGGAACTCCAACAGAGACCCGGCACCCCCAGAGTATCTTTTCTCAAGGGTCACAACGGAGAACGGGCTTGTGATCCATCACGCCATGTTCATACAGGAGGAAGAGAAAAAGCTGATGGGTGTTTGCCAGTTCGGTGAGGAAGCTCAGGGACCTAAAGGGTGAGAGTTTGATCCCGTTCCCTCAGAAGACATCAAAGGAGAGATTTCCCTATGTACGCACACCACTGGACACCCAGTGCACAAACCTTATTAGACTGGTCTGAAAAATGCAGTGTGTTTTCCGAGTGAATAACTCAATATTGTCACTGGTGAATTGGACTTGCCAAATCTGCCAAATCAAGATACCGGCATCTTGGATGAGATATTGCCCTTGATTTAATTACACCTAGTATTATTTGAGTGCATAATGTAATGGCCTTGAAGTGAAAAATGTTATGTGGTTTCATGTTGTCTGATTGCATTGACAGATTTGAGTACTAAAAGTCTGACTGTAGAAAGTTGGCTTAATAACAGCCAACAGAATATTGCACAGCGTGGTGACACACTCAAAAAACAAAGGTTGTTTGCTGTTACAAAGGTTGGCACATGGTGGTGCAATTGCTACAATGCACGATGACGTCACTGGAGAGCTGACAGGGAGAGTAGTAGGAATGGCCATTCTCACAGCTTCACTGACAATAAACTTCAAGAGGTAAGTGAGTTAACGAGGCAGTTTTATCATGGACCTGCGTATGTGATCCTAATTCTATGGTTTTTCTCTATGGGAGTTATTCAGCCTCATTGATAGCTGCCAAGGGTGAATTATGCAGGACACATATGTAATGTTGTCAGGCCCAAGGTAGGTGAAGTTGGCCTGTGCAGCCAGGAAATGACCCATATCTGACCACTCGGCATGGCTAAAGATCAAAGGTGTGGTATCAAATCCAGGTCACAGTGGTGAGCAGCGAGGGCTTTATGCAATAGCAACCTGTGCCACCTTATTTGGCTTTTACTGCGTACATGAATTGTGCCTAGTCAAGATGGACAAAATTAAAGATTCTTGAGACTTATCATTAGGAAAGGGCAGGCACTTGGTAGGGAAGGGTAGCCAATGTCACATGCTCATCCAGTGCCCCCAAAGAAGTTTTTTTTTCATTTTCTGCAATTACACTCCATTTTTGTGAACTTTTCTCCTGTCATTCTATGGAGGCTCAAAAAGAACATCAGCCTCATATCATTTTTAGGCTGTTGTGCTTTATGTGATGCTAGTTCATGTTAACATGAAGTTGGAGACTATGAGATGCTTCTTGGCTTCCATCTAAGTGATGCACTGTTTTTTGTCTCACACTGATGTGTATGTACTTAAAATGATGCAGACAGTAGTGCACTGCTGGTCTCGTGGGAGTGCCACAAAACATCTCAAAGTCGCTGCCGGTGGAAGAGGGGGGCAGTGGTGTCCCCATGTTTTGAGTGGTGGGCATGCCCCCTCCCCAACTTTTTGCAGGTCCTTTAAACAGGGTAAGGCTCAATGGATCCGCTTCTCAACGGCTGATGCCCGATAGTCTTACAGCTGGCCCCTGTCTTTGTCAATTGTTCTGCTGCCAGTGCTCAAAGTTTCCACTTGTCTATTTTCAACATTTGTTTCATTTCACAGACCCACTCCGTTGAGATCCCCCGTACTCATCGAGGCTCACGTCGACAAAATTGAAGGCAAAAAGATTTTTCTCAAATCATGCATGAAAAGTCCAGATGGTGGGACCGTCTACTCGGATGGCATGGTCCTGTATGTGAACATCGAAAGCCAACTGCGTGCTGCGGAAGAAAATCCAAGTCAACATTATGAATAATTATTGCTATTTATCTACCTGTATATATGTGTAAATAGTGCTGTGTGAGGTTAACCCGCATACTTGAATAACAGAAAGACTGCACCGACCATCAGGTTCCTGCCTCTATAATTACGTGCATTTGGAGTTCAGATATCTGAGAGTGGTTATCATGGGAACTGTGTACAAACCACTCCAGAATTTTTCAAAGGACCATTAGAGTTGGCGATTTTTGTAATCAAAATATTATTGAAATTAGGTTTTTTAAATTTTCTGAAAATTGGAGATAAGTTGATGACTTAATTATCTAATCCAAAGCCAGCAAATTCAGCTGCACGTGTAATAATTTTTCCTAAATTTATTTCATTTATTTCAAAATTGTAGAAATCAAGAGATTTAAATTAAAAGATATGAATCAAGTAATTTGATTAAAATCACCTAATTATTTTCAGGTAATAGCCACCTTCAGTACTGTCTAATCCCAGGTGATCAGTACTGTCTAATCCCAGGTGATCAGTACTGTCTAATCCCAGGTGATCAGTACTGTCTAATCCCAGGTGATCAGTACTGTCTAATCCCAGGTGATCAGTACTGTCTAATCCCAGGTGATCAGTACTGTCTAATCCCAGGTGATAGCACCTATATGTATTTGGAGAGTAGACACTTCCCTCAGAAATACATGTAAAGATACAAAGCTTGGCTTTCAAATTTTCTCAGAAGTGCACAGGAATTTGTTCTCATGAACTCAGACTTAAGAACCAGTATAGGAAAAGAAGGCCATCAATCCCATGTACATGGAACTTATTTTACATGCTGCATGCAGGTTGAAAAAGAGCTGGTTCCATACTTTGCTGTAGTGTCTGCAAATAGCAGTCTGAAGGTTTGTTTTTCTGTTCCAGCTTTTTGTTACTTTAATCGTTAAATGACCAAAGTAATTTCATCAAACCACAGTAACACTTTACTCAGTTGTTACTTATTTCCTACTGGTCTGTATCGAGCTTGAATTCGGTTTCATTTGTAACATCTTTTGGACCTCCAAAATTCTGAAAGAGCTTTTGGAATGTTGCCGTTTCTACTGGATGATACTGTTTACTGTTTAATTACAGCAGAGAGATAATATTATTTAGTTCGGTAGCAAAAGGAGTAGACAACTTTGGCAATAAATTTTCGTTTTACATTTCCAGTGGAAAAGCTACTTTTAGTATGAAATAAACCAATTAAATTGAAGTAATTGCAGAAAGAAACATTTTGTGTCATGAGTTATTTCCATTCGAACTTATAGATTTTTTCACTTTTTTGTCACTTGGTCAGTTTGTTGTGTAATTTGTTGGTTTGCTTTAGTTGGGTGTCCTTTGGTGTTAGACTAAATTTCGATGACTAGTTTAAAAAAACCCATCTAGTTACACACAGGCACATAACTGCAAGGACTTAAAAAGTATTCTGGAGAGAAATATGGAATCACTACGTAGTACTTGTCAGTTTTCAAAGAGAAAAGTTGCTGGTATTAAAAAACAGAATCATGTCAAAGTTTATAATGAGCCCCCTGAACACTACTTATCCCAACTTCATGTTTTTTCCATTAATAGAATGTAATTTGTGGGCCTTCGTAAAAAAAGCAAAGCAACTTATCGGTACCTCGGGGGGGGGGGGACGGGTGCCGGTGAGTAACTAGTCTTGGGCCCAGACAGCAGAACTCGGTAGCGGGCTCAATCGCGCATACGCCGCGCGCGAATTTCGTTTCTCTAATCGACTCGATCGAGACCGCNCATTCTGCCGTCTTGGCCCAAGACTAGTGTAACGATCTAGTTCTAGGCTAGGGGGCGGTTACCTGGTCCAACAAGTTTTGGACCGTTTGCAGAGTACATGCTGCACGCATGGCAGAGGAAAAGCTTGCCACCTCAGCCACATTCATTTCCCATTAATGATCATAATAACACCGGTGGTCTTCTTCGTGATCTTGCGTGCCTGAGTTGAGTGAGTGGTCTGGTAGTGCAGTATGAATTTTGATGCCAGGAGTTTTATTTAGCAGGGAATGATTCCATGTGAGCATGGTAATTAGTCGGCGGTAGGCTCTGCATCATAGGCTGGAGACAAGTCACTACTCCATGTTTGTACTTTTTTTTGTAGTGTAGTTTGGAGTTTTGCAAGTACAGTAAGTTGGCGGATGAGACAAAACAGCAGTAACCAAACTTTCTGATCAATGTCCTGTTGTCAATTAAGAATGTAGCTTTGTTCCAAACTCATAGTGCGGCACAATTATTAAGCCTAGAACTAAGCATGCATGCAACTTCCGTTGACACGAATTGGGCATGTCTGAAGGAGTGGCTAGAAACACTTTTTGTAAATGAGAAAAATGACATGAGTAAGTAGAAAGTATTTTGAAGTTTCGTTGAGATTAAAATACAAGAAAACAACTGATTCCAGAACTGAGAAATGAGCATTGGACATACATGTAGGAGTGGAGGGGAATTCTCCATCTGAAACTGATTAACACTAGAATTTTAGGAAAGAATACGGACGCTGCTTGACACCCACCCTGCTATGAGATACCTCCAGAACTGTGGTGTCCGACGTCCGCTCCTTTCGTTGGCCGGGAGCGGAGCAGATGTCGGACTCCACAGTCCTGGGGGATATGAGACTGCTCTGAAAAATTGAAGTGCTTTCTAAATGAATATTTCAGTGTTTTCATTGTTTGATCTAACAGTTTAGGTCATTTTAGTGCTTTCAGATGGCTATAATGACTGAAGGGAAAATAAAGTGGTGGCTGTATCTGTGGAATTCTTTCTGTATTTAATTAGAGAATACTTTGACACTGCTTTTGACTTTCTCTCTCAGCACAAAGATCTGCCTCTTCTCAACCTGTTTGCAGTCAACTTGGTCCATATGGATAAACAAGGTCTTCCTGTCAATTTCTCCTTAAATATGCAGATGGCGATGGATATCGCAGGCTTGGATATTGCAAGCTCGGCACACAACACCTGGCTACCTGAGACCGAAGAGGTGTACACCCGGCTGCTAGCCCGGGCAGAGAGAGATGGCTGGGTGCAAATCAGGAACACCCACACAGACCCCAAACCCTCCCGGTACCGGTATATGATCGTCGTGACTGAGAATGGGCCAGTGATCCATCATGCCTTGTTCATACAGAGGGCAGAAAAAAAGCTGATGGGTGTTTGCCAGTTCAGTGAGGATGCCCGGGGACCTCAAGTGTGAGATTTTGACTCCTCTTAATGTTCAGAAAACATCAAAGGATGAGAATTAATTTCAGTATGGACGCCCCGTGACACCCCGTGCAAAAACATTATTATGCATGTTAGACTGGTCTGAAAAATTAGGTTTCCTTAATAAACCTGNGGTATTTTGAAGTTTCGTTGAGATTAAAATACAAGAAAACGACTGATTCCAGAACTTAGAAATGAGCATAGGACATAGGAGTGGAGGGGAATTCTCCATCTGAAACTGATTAACACAAGAATTTTGGGAAAGAATAAGGACGCTGCTTGACACCCACTCTGCTATGAGATACCTCCAGAACTGTGGTGTCCGACGTCCGCTCCGTTTGTGGGAGCGGAGCAGATGTCGGACTCCACAGTCCTGGGGGATATGAGACTGCTCTGAAAACTTGAAGTGCTTTCTAAATGAATATTTCAGTGCTTTCATTGTTTGATCTGACAGTTTCGGTCAGTTTAGTGCTTTCAGATGGCTATAATGACTGATGGGAAAATAAAGTGGTGTCTGTATTTGTGGAATTCTTTCTGTATATTTTGTTAGAGAATACTTTGACTCTCTCTCTCTCTCAGCTCAAAGATTTGCATCTTCTCAACCTGTTTGCAGTCAACTTGGCCCATATGGATAAAAAAGGTCTTCCTGTCAATTTCTCCTTAAATATGCAGATGGCGACGGATATCGCAGGCTCGGATATCGCAAGCTCGGTACACAACACCTGGCTACCTGAGACGGAAGAGGTGTACACCCGGCTGCTAGCCCGGGCAGAGAGAGATGGCTGGGTGCAAATCAGGAACACCCACACAGACCCCAAACCCTCCCGGTACCGGTATATGATCGTCGTGACTGAGAATGGGCCAGTGATCCATCATGCCTTGTTCATACAGAGGGCAGAAAAAAAGCTGATGGGTGTGTGCCAGTTCAGTGAGGATGCCCGGGGACCTCAAGTGTGAGATTTTGACTCCTCTTAATGTTCAGAAAACATCAAAGGATGAGAATTAATTTCAGTATGGACGCCCCGTGACACCCTGTGCAAAAACATTATTACGCATGTTAGACTGGTCTGAAAAATTAGGTTTCCTTAATAAACCTCAATATTGTCACTGCTCACTTCGACTTTTTAGGACATTTTAAGTAGGTCACTACAGGGAAAATTTAGTGGTGTCCGTTCATGCAGTTGTTTCCAAATCAAGATATCTTGGATAAGATATTGGCTCTGATTCGGTCGTACCTAGTATGCAGGACAATAAGCCACTTGCGAGTTAAATTTGAATAAAATTTGGTACACTGAGTTCTTTAAATTCACGTTGCCCCGAATAATGAGGTATAGCAACAGAGGCTTTAGTATGGAGAATTCCGATTGTTATGTTCACGTGAATTTGAAGAACCCAGTGTACCAGATTTTATTCAAATTTAACTCGCAAAAGGCTTATTCAGCAGATGCAGTGTCTCGGAAATATAAAAAGTGATGTGTGTCTTGTTCCCCGATTGGACATGTTCTCAATCTGGTTGTAAAGGTGTGACTAAACAATAGCCAACAGACTACTGCATCGTGTCTTGAGCAATGCAAAAAACAGTTACCCATGCCACCTGGTAGTTTTACTTTCCCTTGGAGTGTGACTGCAGATGTTTTTTTTAACAGACGATTTCAGTTTTAAAGCCCCAAATTCTCAATTTCAGAATTTGGCTACGGTGAATTATCCTTTGTATGACTATGAACAGAAAATCAAATTTATCACCCCCACAAAAATTATGCTTACTAAAGCAGGGGTTAAAAATTCAAAGTTCAAAGTTGCAGTTTTACGGTATTGACTGAACACTTGGAAGGGTATGATATCACGGCTTTATGTTTTTTGTCAAACTTGGCCTCATTTTCATTGATGTACATGTACACTTAGGTTTATGAGTGCACATCGTGTACAACGTGAGTTATAAAATCTCGCAACAGTTTTGGCTTGCTCAGGATGGTGATTTTTTTTTTACAAACCTGAACTTTTTTCCCCTGTTTGCATAAAGGTCGGCACACGGCGGTGCAACTGCTACAGTGCACGATACTGTCACTGGAGCATTGTCATCCAGAGTACTAGGAACGGCTACTGCCACGGCTTCACTGACAGTAAACTACAAGAGGTAGGTGAGTCAGGAACGCGTTTTTATCCATGAGAGCTGTTCATCCTTATTGGTAGCTGCAAGGGTGAATTACAAAGGACACATCAATGTGGTCAAGCCCAAGGTTGGCAAAGTTGGCCTATGCAGCCAGCAAATGACCCATATCTGATTACTCGGCACGGCTGAAGCTCGACAGAGTTGATTCAAGTCCGAGCCACAGTGGTGAGAAGCGAGGGCTTTACGCAACAGTAACCTTTGCCACCTTGTTTGACTTTTACTGCGTACACGAACTGTGCCTGGTCAAGATTGAGGGAAAAAAAAAGTTCTTGGGACATGACTTCTCAACTGACACACTCGACAGTCAAGGGCAAGTAATTTCACATGCATGCCCCCAAAGAGGAATTTTTAAAAAAGTTTCTACATTAAGGCTTTTTCTCTTTTGCTCATTATTTGCCTCGGTGCTGCTTTTGTGAATTTTTCTGTGGTCACGTTTTGTAGGCTCCAAAAGGGCATCAGAATTTTGATAGTTTTCCGGTGTATGTGACGGTCGCTCATTTTAATATGTAGTTGGAGACTTTGAGACACTTAATGGCTTCCACCTGACTGCCTCACTGTTAGTTGCGTCACACTTGAGCTAATTTGTATGTGCTCAAAATCATGCAAACAGTAGTGCACTGCTCGTCACACGACGCTGCTACAAAGCATCTCAAAGTCGCCCATTTTCAATTTTGAATGTTTGTTTCATTTCACAGACCCACTCCGTTGAGATCCCCCATACTCATCGAGGCGCATGTCGACAAAATTGAAGGCAAAAAGATTTTTCTGAAATCATACATGAAAAGTCCAGATGGCGGGACAGTCTACTCGGATTGCACCGTTTTGTATGTGAACATCGAAAACCAACTGCGTGCCGCAGAAAAAAAATCGAACTCATCATTGTGAAGAATTAATAATTCTTGCCTTTTCTCTTTCATGTGTGTGTATATGTGAATGGGTGCTGTGAGAAGTTTTCCCTCTCATTTGAATAAAAGAAAGACTGAATGACTATGAGAATCCTCGGCCTTCAATCATATAATTACAGTGTACATGTATTTGGAGGTCAGATAGCTGTGGGCATCATTGAAACAGTCACCAATGTGAATGTACAGCATGAGGTTGGCCAGAAGTGACCTACTAATGTGTAAAGTGCCCTCTCTAGCTCGTGCAGAGCTAGTACTCAACTACACGTTCAAAAATTATCAATGAGACGACTTTGGACTTGGCCAATTAACTTGTAATAGGAACCTTGTGTTATCAGGAATGAAAGCAATGAAGAACATCTGCTGGGGACTTTAAAAATAACCTTTTTATAACTTTACAAGTACGAAGTTCTTATACAGCATTAAAGTTCGTATACAGCATTAAATGCCTTATTTTTGAAAATTGTTGGAAATTTGGCTGCAATGAACACTGTACATCACATGGTAAAAATATATTGGATATCTGATTTAGATGTCACACACACAACTCAAGAAAAGTGAAAAACTGAAATAATCCAGAGTATTGCAGAAAAGAGAAATTTTGTGTCAGAGTTATTTGCATTTAAAATACAGCATTTCCGAAAGTATACAAACGTGTTTGGCTGTGTTATTTCTTTGGTTGTACAATGTATGTCACCTGTAGTTGGGTTGTTTGTTAGATGTACGGCCAGGCTGCCCGTCAGGAATTCAGGCTAATTTCTGGCTGTGCCTATAGAAGGATCCCAATACAACGCTTTTATCGTTGATCTGCGCACTTCCGCGTTTGAAAACGAGGCTGTATGTGTCGGCTTCAATTCTTAATTCGATCAGACGATTGAAAGTAAGGAGTCAAGAAGCAAAATACATAAAAGTATGTTAAATTCAGACTTTTCAGGCTGCAATGTTTTGGGAAGAGTCTCTCGGGACGACGCGACACATGAAATCAAAAGAAAAAATAATGGCAATTTACCGCGAACTAATTAACGTATCTGCGATGGTCGTTTATCTTGTGCAGTGGGCGTGGTTTAAACTGAAGTGGCACCACACTTACGAACCGGATACTGTATGTACTGTGTCGACTCCGCGGGCGCGCGCGAGTAAGTTCAACACAGAGAGCCTCGGTTTCGATGCGAAATGCATAAACGACGCTAATGTGAAATCCGTCTATTGTTACTTTCTTTCATGATAGTTGAGTATCTACTGCAGAGCAGGACTTGCTTTCAAAATTGGGGGGGGGTTGGTGTATGTAGAAAATTTGATGAATATTATATGAGAAAAATGGATTATTGGGTGGTTGGTGAAACAACCCATGAAGCATAGCAAACGTGACTCCGCTTTCATCATCATGCACAGCCACTAGACTACAATAAAGTTGTCCGCAATGTGAAATATGGAGACACAATTGGTCTGGTCCTTGATCTATGGTCGCCGGGGGAAAGTCTAACAATTTTTGGTATGCAAACGATGTACGCGTCGTTTTTCTGCTGTTTATATGGAATGAGCACCACGCCCTCTGCAGGCCTCCGTAGATTAGACAGCAAAGCAGTTTGGGATACGTTTTGTTTGAAAAATGGCCGCCGAATTTCCACGACCAACATGCTGAGATTGTCCTTTTAAATTTTGGGAGTAAAATTTGCAAAATGGCTGCTGAAGAGAGGAATTTTAAAGCAGCCTTCCTCATTGATACACGGAGACAAATCACATCAAAAGAAAGGCCATTAGAAGCCGACACTTTTTCCCGGGGAGTACGTTTGTGTGTGCTCAAACTGTTGTCGTATTTCACCCACATTCGCGACCACAGTCAACAAGCAATCACCCATCTGCGGTGGGGATTCAAAGTGTTTCACTCGTACGATTATCCGCCTTGCAGACGCGACTACCTAAAGCAACTCTCGGTGAGAAACTTCCAGGACTTCGAAGATCAGCTTTCGGGTGATTTGGAGGGTCTCGCGTCGTCAATTCGTGGAAGACGGGCGCCGAAGACTCCGCAGGTTTTGACAGCGACTTCCGTCCGGCAGGCGCTCGACGACGTCCTCCACGATTTTCAGTGGGACGGACCCGATGTCTGTTCCCCCGTGAAACGGAGCTCGGCTCCCTCGCCGAGGAGGGGGCTGAGAATGCGGGGTTCCAACTGCCAACTGTCGAAGTGTGTTTTTCTGATGATGCCTTGCCCAGTCAGCCGATCAGAGATGGAGGAATTTTGTGATTTTGGTCCAGATGATCCACTGCCAAGGACCTCAGAGTTTCTTGAAATGGTTCTTCCAACGAGTGGCGCACAACAGATCTTTCAAGATCAAAATATTGCTTTGTTTTGGATTGACACCAGTCCATGGATCTCAACAGAAAAGGTTAAACTGTTATAGAGACTGTCAATTCACATTTTGCTGAGATATTTTTTCTATCATGTCTGTGCTTACAGGCGAGGCCATTAAACTGGCATCAGCATAGGAAATCGCTTTTATTGTGCAGCATGTAATCACAGATGATTTTTAGAGTTTAATCATAAAGATAAACATTAATTACTTTGGCCTAGCGCTACACTTAAAATTGATTTTAGCCACTTTTTCCTTTCTTTTTGTCAAAAGACCATTAACCTGTTCACATATAAATTTGGCCTAGGGCCTATAATGTCATTTAATTTGTAAGACATATTTTCCTTTCTGTGGCACAGTGAAAAGCAATATTGTTTTCTGGCATTATTGACAAATTATATGTCAAGCATTTGTAATTTGCAAATGTTTAGTCACTTGGCAGAAATGAAATGTTTCACATTTAGACAGAACAATTTATTTGTGTCTAATTGTTTAACTGTTCAGAGGGACAACGATGGGTTGTCGGTCATCTCTCTGGCCATGCGGGAGCTGGGCGGCTGTGTTATTCCAGTCCATGCCTTGGTCAGTCACATGCAGCATGTCACAACTAGCCTCATGTCATCCGTCCTGACCTCGCAAGAGCAGAGCGCGAGTGCCACCGTGACCAGTGGAGCAGCAGATTGTGAGGTGTCACACCAGGAGAAAGACAAATCGTCATCCCTGTCATCAGTGTCGAGGACAAAGTTGAAGTCCACGGATTGTCCCCATGAGCCCAAAGAAACCAGAGTGACATCTGGGGGAAGATGTGACCAACAAAAGAAGACAAGAAGTTGTTCTTTCCTTCCATTTTCAACCGTCATGGACTATTACCTGAATTCAAGAGAGACAGTGCCTTCAGAGCGGGAAAAGTGTCCACGCCTAAAACTGTCAGTTATTACAGGTACATCAAGCCTCAATTACAACTCAAATTCCTCGATCCTCCAAAATCCTCAATTCTGTTTTGGGAGACTATAGCTAAATGGCAAAACATTGTGAAATGGCTGATTGTGAAGGATGTACATATTATGTCCAGGGTTTGGAATAGACTTTGGGTTGTTTATACTCAGCCTTGCATAAATTCAGGCCTGAATTATATTTGAAATCATCCACACTGCCCTAGGACACCATTCTCGCTGCCCCAGAACAGTGAGAGGAATAACTGAGGATTTTGGAGGATCGAGGCAGAAAGACGATTTGGAAGGACTGAGGACACATCTAAGATAAAAAGACCTAGAAGGTTATACGCTTTGAACAGACGCACCCCCTCGTTGGTTGAAGAGAGCCATTTTGGTGGGAAGAGTTCAACTGGTAGGGAAAAGACCATAACGCATGCATTTTATATGCATGAAAGTGTGCAGTTCCCACCAACGAAGCCTCCAATGCTATGTAATCTAGAAAGTCAATTTATTTTTCAAGTTCAACCTATCTATATTTTCTACATGCCTTCAAAGACTGCATGCACAAATGTTAGCTGATCTGAACAAGATATCCAGTCATACCAAAAGCGATTGCAAAACCACACGTCCAGAGCAGTAATGTTTCACAATTGTTACGCTGTTCTAGAAGTCCTCAAACAAGTTCAAACAGCACTGATTGTGTTTTGTTATTTTAGAAAATTTGAGAAGTTTGCCAACTTTCTGGTTTTTTTTGTAACTACTTTTGATTAGGACTGAAGTTTCAAGGAGGGCATATGTTTAAATGGAATTTACTTGAGCCAAAAATTACTTCAAAATTTCTGTTATTTACTGGTTCAATATTTGCCTCTTTTGCAGATGGCAAGGTGACAGATTTGTGTTGCCTTGAACTGTGCCCTCTTACCAAAGGACCATCTAGTCCTTCAGGACGTACCTGTAGATATGTGCCATCCCAAAATGCAACAGCAAGTCCGCTGAAAGCCACATCCACTGAACTAACCATCACAGCCCCAGGCTGTAGCCATGTTTCCAGCGTTACCAATCAGGATCCCAAAATTGTTACCGATGGCACCGAAGCATCAGGACCACCTTCCACTGGAACTCCCCACAGAGTCCAAAATCAAGCTTTCATAAAGACCAAACTACCAAGTGGTGTCGTGCCCATTTCACTTTACCAAACCGACGCTGTTTACGCATGCACAGGTTTTTCTTTTGCTGTACAGTCTGCAGAAAAGAAGTCTGGCCCACGTGAAGACGACAAACTTTCAGGTTGGTTCAGGGAAGCCATGATTAGCCTCAGCCAGCAAAAGAAAGTCTTGGTGAGTAAGGAAAAAGATTTTGTCAAAATTGTAGAAAACTTGGGGGGGAGGAGCGTTGCAGTTCTAAAGGGGCATCTTAGATTTTGAGAAGTTGAAATATTGTACCCTAAAAAATGCTGAAAAGGTGAAAGGAACATTCCAGTTTCGAGGTGTTTCCTAACAATCGTTAAACAGGGCACTTCTGTTGATCCCCAGTTGGTCGATATGACACACCCAGAAGTCGGCACACCCGTCATGGCAGTACTGGAGCCCCTCACGTCCACCACCGCATCCCTCCGGACTCTGAAATCATGGCCTCTCCCCGGGTACGGTTCGACCGGTCTCTGCGACGAGGCCGGCAGGGCAACGAGAGCCAGCATAAATAGGAGAAGTCGCAGTGGGGACGACAGGACCAGGATAACCAGAATCGCCGAGGAATGCGTAAAGAGACGAAGTGGCCTGGAAAAAATGTTGGAAAACCCTCAAGGTGCGTGCGTGCAGGTTGTCCCTATGAAGGACTCTATCACAGTTGTTAACATAGGACACCGGGAATGTGATTTTGCATAATTTTTCCAGATTTCAGGACTTTTGACCCACAAATTTTGGATTTCTAGAGGTTGCATCCATATCAGACTTGATTTGGCTAGTTTTGTTGGCTTTTCACAGACGTATGTGTACCACGGGCAAGATTCACGTTTCTGTGCCTTTTCTTATGTTATTTATGATTTTTTTCTTTCCTTTTTCGTAGGAGCTGAAGAAACGTCCCACCCAATTCCCCTGTCATCCAACCACAGTGAGATGGTCTCATTCCGGCCTCATGTCTTAGAGCCCTGGTATCCTTACTGCCCGTCAGGTGGTGCATCTGCCAGACTGCTTGATAAGCTACAGAGGTTTGTTTTTTCGGCTTTGTGTTTTGGATGAATACATGGGCTTTGGGACTTAGTAAGAAAATGACATTTAATACAACATTGGATTCAAAAAGACCTGCGACAGTTGACACATTTCTATTGGTCCAGAGCCTGTCACATGGATGCTTTAAACAACTGATAAAACTACCAATTGGTTTGAAACACTTTTCTGGTTTCCTATTAGATTTTGACTTCTTTTTAATGGACTCTAAGCCTACTTCATGACGATCGTTGACTTATATTCACGTAGGCATGTGCAGTTCAACCTGGGAGTCTTTTTTTTCATTGGTTGAAAATTCATTTCTACACCGACATTCATTCTGTCTTACAACCGCTATATCACCTTCACTTTTGTGATAGATATTTTTATTTGTAGCTACATGTTGTTAATTATTTTATCTAATCTTCCCAGAATTTATCGTTGCATCACCTCAAACTGTCATTCGACTGCTTGAACTGTCGTTCTGAGTGGGTGCGTTCAATCATTTATGCATAACGATGTTTGTTTTTCTTTTGGCAGTTTTCCTCTTCGTGACAAACCCCACGACTCCATGAATCCCACCTTACCAGGTCAGCTCCTTCAGAGGCTTGTGGAAACGTACAACAGACAGCCTGGCATCAACAGTAGCCAGAGCACTGCCATGAAGACCACTGAACCGGTAGATGGCAAGACAGAGACCCAGGCTAGGCAGCCAGCTGTTGGTAAGAAATTAGTGTTGCTCATGCGAGGTAATCTTTTCAATTGAATTTCAGTTTTATCAAAATCATCAAAGGAAAAGTCCAAGGAGAGTTGTAAGCGCCATTCTTTTGTCTATAAACAGTGATTTAAAATATGTTATCTCAGTTTTATGTTCAAATCTTGCCTGTCCTAGATCTGCATATCACTTAGTGTCTAGTTTTCCTCAGTCTGCAAATTCGTGATTTTCTGTACACTTTAGCCCATCCCCTATAACTTTATGCTAAAAGCCATGGAGTAAGGTTTGTGGACAAAGATTCCGTCTCATTGTCAATCGCAGTGAATTAATTTTTGTCAACTGGACTGATCCGAGTGATCAAGATTGGTAGCCGGGCCAGTTTAGTCTTGTCTTTCACATGTAACTGCACTCACTGGATTAGTATGTGGAATATGCTCTCCATCAGGTTTGATCTTTCTCTCTCTGGCAGAGCCTGGACCGGTGAGGCAGAGCCCTCGCCTCCAGAGACGCAAGAGTACGATGAACGTGGGCTTCCGCACGGAGAAAATCATGAGCAACAGCCTGCGCATCCGGGTCACCAAGGAGCCGAGCCCCGCAAAGAGGGACCAGAAGGAGAACCGGGCACCGGGCAGTGCCAGGACCAAGACCACGATGTTTAGTAAGGCCACGTCTGAATCTCATTTCCTACGGCTAACAGTAGTGCACAAGCGTATGGGAAATTGCTGCAGCCACTATCTCTGCGGCTTCCATAGCCGCAGCCACATAATTTTGACGCGGCCGGTTTCAGTTGAGAATAAGGTCGCACCAAGTTCTAAAAACGGTCAATGGGTTGTATTTTTTCACAGTGACTGAGAAGTATATATATACGATGTTGAGGTGTTTCAGGAAAGATCGTTCATCCACTTTTCCTGGATGGAGTTCTTATTTGGAGGTAATATCTTGAATGATCCAAATGTGTATTGTTCACTTTTCTACATTGTGAATATTTTTCAGAGTGTCCATCATTTGACTCTGAGCAGGACGTGATTGACTGCATTCAGGCCGCCTACGAGAAAGGAGTGTCAGAGGTGAGCTTGAACAAACACTTTGAGAGCTTTTCGTTCTGCAGAAACCAAATCCAAGGAGTTGCAGTTCCTGACAGAGTGTATTGCAACCACCTCTTCAACAAAGAGAAATTGGCAAGCAGCCCAAGTTACTGCAGACCTTTGGCTAGTCAGTTCATGGATTGTTTTGTGAGATGGTCCCTGGTATATCCCATTTTCCTGGGGGAACATTCCATACAGCGTTGAAGTCTGAGTCCCTGGCCTGTTCCATTTTCCAGGGTGACTGCAGAATTTTTGTGTGCGTTCGAGCGAGCTACTCGTGTTATTAAACACGAGTATACTGCTGAGCGCTCGAACGGCTGGAGTACGACCCGCGTGTCAGCGAGAGTATACCCTCGCTAATGGGGGAGTATACGCCAGCACCCGAGTGTAATGCACACGCATCCTACTCGTGTAAACAGGAGTAATCGTGCGAACGCACCCCCAGAGATTAAATTTGTTCCGTATGGAAATGTCTGACACAGTTGTGTTTGGCTTTTTATTTGTCTTTTCAGGGTTCTTCAGCGGTGGATTTTGTACCGTTCATAACCAGTATAGTGCTGTCCTACATGAAGTCCAGTTCCACAGATTCTGGAGAAAATGAAGCTGTGGTGAGTCGCTGTCATCGTGTTGGGAAAATCTCCAAGGTAGCGTGATGAGGTTGGGTCGATAACACATTTGACGACTGGAGTTGATGTGGAAGTACGATAGAAAATGGACCTTAACCTTCCTTGCTACTCCCAATTCAACCAGGTCTTGGAGAAATCAGTAGGATTGACGAAGGTCGAGCCCATTGTTGGGTCTGACGTCCCCTGGAAGTTGATGTGAATAGAATGTGCCATTGGTTTTCTGTACACTGTGGAGGAATTTGTAGGATTCAGGAAAGTTCCCCCCAAAAAACCCTTTGGAGTTAATGTTGAATTTGTTCGTTGGCATTAAACTGTTTTGCTCCACACAACACCCTAATACATTTTTCTGTCCTAACTGAAGTGGTATGACTTATATTCTGTTTTCATTAGGCTAGGGCCAGGGAGCTACTGACACGCTGCCTGCTAGTCTCCAGCAACCAACTGCGGGACAAGTACCAGTCCCGGACCGACGAGTCGGGCAATCTGCTCAGGGTGCAGGAGATTGAGGTGCAGGTCCTGCTGCGGCTGGAGATGGAGGCTATATCGCCAACGGATGTCTCCCTAGGCAAATGCCAAGCAGTTAGTCAGGATGACGGCGTGGCTGCTGAAGGCGGACGGGACGATGAGGAGAATCAGGAGAGGGGCGGAGTCAGCAGTGCAGAGGAAGAGGGGACCAAACTCCCTGAGAACGTTCAAAAATTAGTAGATGAGGTAGGTAGGCTTTTTGTTCTGGACATATCGTGTCCCTGGATTAGCCTCTTGTTGAGGGCAGCGTTTTGGAAAAGCGATGCATATGTGAAAGTCGGGGCAATTTCAAAATTGAACATCACCGTCCCCTTCTGAATTCGTTTAGAATCACGTCATTGTCTTTGTTGCTGTCATGCTCATTTTTACGTGTGTACTCTGTCAGATTGTCAAACTTTTGAGAGCTGTTCCCTTCCTGGCTGATACCAGCAGGCTAACAACCTTCCTCGCCGACAACCTCCTGCAAAAGTAAGTGTCCACACTTTCGTGCTTAACACCGGTAATCTGCGCTTGAAGCTTCGAAGATGTGTTGATAATGACAAGAAAATCTGTAGCCAATACGTGGCTGTGAGAAGTGTCTGATTGTCGCAGGCAAAAAGACAACCACATGTGTCTATTCAACCATTTGTTAAATTGTGTATCCATGTCTGAGAATTGTGCTTAATGTCTGTAATATGCATTATATATATCTCGCCCTCTCTTAAGTTGTGATTTAACCCATATGAAGTTGTGGCCAGTCTATGCACTTGGATGCCCGTTAGAATCAAGCAGAACATAATATTAGAACGTTTTTTGAAGTTGCCTGAATATTTAGTTTGATGTGTACTTTTCTTTGCAGCTATGCTGACTCGTTGCCTCACGTCTTGCGCGTCATCTACGATGACCTGATGCAGCCAGTCCCCTCCATCTTGCTGTCACCCGGCAGCAGCGATGTGGCTCTTTCCTCCGTCAAGACCCAACCGCCTCCGTCGTATCGTTCCTCCTCCCATGGGTCGTTCCCCGAGCCCTCTGTCTCAAGCATAAGGTACAAACATCCATTCTTGGAACGGGGGAGGGAATGTGAACTATAGGTAATTGATAATCCGATCAATGCCGCTGGAGTGTTAGATGGTTGGTCTTGGAAACAGACTCCAGGAGTTAATGGTTGTGCTCAATACTGGTTGCCAACAGTAGCAGTAGTAGTAGCAGTGCAGGGGAACCGTTGAAAATATGTGTGTGTGTAGGGGGAAGCAATGACTGCAAAAGCAGCGGGAAATGCAATTAACCCTCCTATGCTGAAGTCACTCTTTGGGTCATTTGGTGAACACCTCCAAGAAGCACAGCTGTGTCATGTTGTGCACTGCACCAACAGTCCCTCACCGAAATATCAGATTGCACTTTTGTGCTGCCCAAC